CCTCACGGGGGCCTTTGATGGACTCTCCGCGCATTTTCCACCATGTGACATGTCTCAAGGGGCGGTTTGTGGCCTTGCTGTCCCGCACGGGAACGCAGCGATTCGCACGGCCATCTCCAGCAGGGAGTGGGCGGGCCAAAAACACTCGGTACAGGAGGAGCTGCGAGTCCCCCGGTCCTGACCTGGGGGGTGAACTTGCGCGGCGCCTCCTCCGAGGAGCCGTCTCTGATCAGTGCTGGGAGGGCCCCGAGCCCTAGAGGCCGGGCCGTCAGCACGCGGGAGGCGACCAAGGTCCGCTCTTATGTAGCAACAATAATGGCAGCTGTCACCGGCAGCCGCCGTCCGTGGGCCGCCTTCCCCCAGCCCGCTCCCCGGCCGGCAGCCCCCGCGTCCTGGAGGGAGCGGGGAGGCCCGCCCGCACTTACCGTCTCCGAGGCCGGATCCCCGGTGCCCAGAGACATGGCGGCGCGGCTGTCCGGCTCTGGGGCTCCGCGGGCCGCCTGCAGCCTCCGGGTCAGCCCGCGCGCGCGCCGCGACCCCGCTGCTATAGCAACCGCGCCGGCCCACCGAGCCCCGGATGTGGAGCCTGGCGAGCCGGGCCGACCGTGCGCGTGCCCTGCGACGCCCGCGGGCCCACCGGCTGTGTTCCCGGGGGTGCGGGGCGGTGCTCCCCGCCGAGCTGAACTGTTTACAGGGTTCGTCCACGCCCTTCTCGTGTAGGCTCCGCAAGAAGCCTGTGAGCTGGTCCGCAGAGCAGGGCATTAATAAGTATTCGGCTAATGGTGAAAGGGACAGGGGCTTGTGCAGCGTTGCAGGCTGCTAGCTCTCAATGGCGTTCAGAAAATTCTCCTCCTTGACCTCCATCTTAGGCTCCGGGGTTCTGGTCTAGCCACAGGACAACACAAAAAGAATAATTTGTACCGCACTCAGAGCTCTTACGAAGATCTTTAGGAGCACTGGGCTCCAGGGTTCATTCCTTAGTATTAGCAAATATGATTTGCTCTTCCTTTTCATATCGGTCTCCAAGGGCTTCTACTCCATCCCTTCTCCCTGCCTCATTTTCCCAGCCACCTGACATTGTCTACAAGAACGTCCTATGTCTAGACAGTAAGCTTTCTAGGACAGGAACTTTGTTTTGTTCACAGCTCTATCTCTGTCGCGTGGGACAGCCTGGTACATAGCAGGTGCTCCATCAGTAGATATTAGATGTGCAGCAAGTCATATAACTTCTCTGTGCCTCTGTTTCCTCAACTACAAAGTGGAGCGAAGGGTTGCTGTGAAGATTAAATGGGTCAATATCCGTTAAGTGCTGAGAACAGTTGCCGGTTCCAGAGCGAGTGCAATGTGATGGTGTTATTTTTATGATGTGAACGAAGGAACGGGCCCTCACACCGGGATGGCGAGGCGGCGTCGCAGAAGGAATGCCTCTCAGGTTATTGGCGCTCCAGCTCTGGCACCACCACCTCCTCTGGGTCTGTGGTCCTCCTTTCCTTAGTTTCCTCATCTGTGTAACCAAAGGGGATGAGCCACGTGGTGGCTTTGGGGCTGTCTCCCCGTGAGCAGGCAAGACCGAGTTGGCTAGTGGTCAGGAGCCCAGGTTTTGTGGTCTGACGTGGACTCCTCGTCTGCAAGATGGAGACAGTTTCAGGNAGCTCAGCGGCTGCTCAGCTCGGGCCGGGACTCCAACCACTGTTGCTCAGAGCTCAAACTCTTGAGCGAGCTCTTAACCAGCTGAGCCACTCAGCCGGCCCTACAAGCAGGTGGTTTTGCACAGCCTCACTGGTACCCTGGGCGCTTCTCCATCCGCATCCCTGCCCCTCCTGCCCAAGGCTGGCAGTGGCTTTGGAGGCCTGAAAGGCTGCTGACTGCCCTCAGTCTCGTTTGGTCCTTTGGATGCAGGGACATGGAACACGGGCCAGGTGCAGGCTCTGAGCTGCAGGGCAAAGGCTGCTGTCCACTGTCCCAAGCCCACAGCCCCGGGCTGGCCTCCTGTCCCCTTTCCACCTGCCACCTCACAGACTGCTGCGTGGCCTGGCAGCCCCAAGGGCCCTTCGTTGGCCAGCTGCTCAGCACTGGCCCTGCATTCTGCAGTAGACAGTGTCTGGGCCAGGGCCATGCAGACACTCGGCCTGAGGTGGGGGCTGAGCCGTGGTACCCTCCCAATGTCTATAAGCTGCCCCTGGGGAGGGGCTGTAAATTTGGGAGTCCCCTAAGTGAAGGCAGGTCCCTCAAAAGGCTTCCCTGTGAGCGGCCGCCAGCAGCATCCCGTAGGCCAGTGGCCCTTGTAGAGTTAGACTTCTATCCTTGAGTGATTGGGGGCACATCTCCAAGGCACCTTGGTCCCTTGTCCCGGAGCCTAGGGTGACTGGAGGGTTTCTGTCCCTTAAGGGTAGGGCTGTCGCTGGATAGGGTGCCCCATGGCCTGAGCTGGGCTGAGCACGGACGGGCCTGTCATCAAGACGGACGAGGCTTAGAGCCAGTAACTACCCCAGTGGGGCTCACCCCGTAAGAGGCAGCACCAGGCTTCCCCACACACCAAGCTGAAGCCAGCGGTGATCAGGAATCGTATGCACTTGGCGGGACATTGTACCGTGGACGTCTGTATGCTGGTGGGGGTTGAGTGGCGAGTGAGCCACTGTCAGCCACGCGGGGTCAGCTCTGTGGGGGTGGTGGGCTCTCATGGTTGTAAGGGTTTGAATGTGTGGGAGGGAGGCAAGCCTGACACACCAGGTGTGCTGGGGCATCGGGTGGAGGACACCTAGAGGTGGGTGGTGCCCTGGCCAACCCCATCTGCCGAGCTCAGGAGTTCAGTAGGCTGTGGAGACCACTGGGGTCCTTGAGCTCAGACGTCATGGTCAGAGGTGGGCCTTTGGAGGTGAAGCTCGTGTGCTACTTTGGAGAACTGCGACAGGACTGATGAAACGTCCTTCTCTAGAAGGCAGTTAGCACACTGTGGCCACCTTCCACCGCTCAGAAGCACAGCTGCCTAGGGGCTCCCTGTTGGTGACACAGGAGCAAGTTCCCCGAAGAAGTGCCTGTACAGCCCCAATGATATGAGAGCCGTCTCTGAGCGCCTGTTCCCTGGGAACATGCCCAGGTCACCATTCCTTCTCCGCTTCCTAGCAGGGGGAGTTGCTCCTGGGGCTCTTTGGGGAGTCAGGCCCGCTGGGCCGAGCAGCCTGGACTGCCCCCACCGTGCGCAGTGGCTGGATCCAGGGCCTGCGCTCCCTGGCCCAGCACCCCAGCGCCCTGCACTTCCTGGCGGGCTGTGGTGAGTGCCCCCATGCCCTCTCGCCTTGCCTGATGCTGTGTGCTTCTGTCTCCCCTTCTCTGAAAGTGGCTGGGGTATCACGGGGCTGTCTGGGGGAACTTGGGGAGGCTCGCAGGTGAGACCCGGCAGCTGGGGTGGCTCTGGAAGGAATTGGGAAGCATAGAAGGTTTCTGTGGGTTTAAAGCCGCAGTAGAAAACGGCGCTGCTCACCCGGGAAACTCCAGCTTCTGAGCATGGGCCTCTGACGGTGCCTCCTGCAGGGCGGAATGCAAGCCCTTGTCCTGGGGTTCTGGTGTCTGCTGATTGAAGCCATGTCTCCACTGAACCCAGTTCTGTCTCCCCTCCCCGCCAGGTGCCCTGGGCACCATCTTTTCCCTGCAGGGAGATGCCAGCCTGTTTGTGGCCTCGGCGGCCGGGCAGCTCCTGGCACACATCCTGGTTCTGTCGATGCGAGGCCAAGCTGAGGGACACCCCAACCCGCAGGCTCCTGACTGGCCGGCCTGTGCCCAGCAGATCGTGGGCCACGTGGAAGAGGCCCTGCACTCCGCC